TGCTATAGGATGTTGCACATGCGCGACTGAACGAATCACTCCCCGAGACGACTCATTCTTCCCGAGTCACATTAAAGATTCGTTCAAAATGAACGAATCGTTCAAGAACGACCCATCTCTGCTTATGACAGAACAGCTAATCACGATGATCTGGTCTTCGGAAAAGATAATTTTATTTGCTTACGTCAGAAACAGCGAATCTCTTTAAAAACTGGCTGTTGTTCTCACTACATTGCATTTGTTATATTTCGTAAAAGTTTTACCCGCCAACTGGCGATTGACACTGTTACATATACTCGCCAATGCCGATTTTTACTCGCATTTGGCACTTGGCGAGCGTTAGTTTTAGGCCCTGTATATATATATATATATATATATTTTTTATTTTTATTTTTTTTATTCTTTTTTTTTTTTATATATATTTTTTTTAGGAGCCCCTTCTCCAGTGTTATCCCAAAAGTGAAATATCTAGACAGGGGACCTGAGTTACACACCAAGGATATACTGCACTGCCAGTGTTTTTTTTTATTTTTTTTAAGAAAAGCTTTGAAGAACAGAGCAGCTCTTCTGTGTCTCAGAGCCAGCATGAATTTCTATTCTCATCAGGTTTCTCAGATGATGCCGCTGATGGCAAAGCTGCATCATCACTGTCAGCTATCCCAGAATTCCTCCTGCTTTGAGAGCGCCAGCTCTGCATGATACAGGAGCCAACAATGAATATCGCACATATCTGAGTCAACAGCTTTAAAAAGACACACACACGCACGCACGCGCGCGCGCGCGTGCGTATCTCTACAGTCAATAGTCCCATTGCTTTCTGAAGTTGTACACTTATGAAAAGTCCCATATTCATTTCCATCTCAGCTGGAGCAGCTAAAAAATGTAAATACACCCATTTTAAAAGTATATTTTATTTTGTACAAACAATAGCGCATATGAAATATGTAAAATGCACATATTTACACAATGAATTTGAGTAAATCTGTAAATATTTCACATCTATTCTCTTTAAGTAGAGAGTGTTTTTTTTTTCACAGCAGAGAATTTAATTCCATATGAACTTATAAGTCAACATGAAACCAAAACTGACCCTAATTAATAACACAGCTGGTCTTATAATACATTATATTCTTAAGAAAATGCTCTCTTTAATCTTTCATCACTCTCTGAAATGACGTATGCCCAGATTGAAGTGCTAAGCAGCAGCAACCATGCGGACCCAAAGTTGCATAGAAACTACAGCTAAAACATAATTTCCTGTGTGCAAGTTGATTTTTCTTCACCTAAACAACATGAATGTTCACAAAAATGTTCCTGCTTGAAACTCTAATTCAAAACTACACCAGTGTGTCTGAAAGGGTTCATTTTAACCGGTAGTCAAATATATATTATTTACGGCTTCAGGCTACTGTTGTTGGTAATGCAGGTAAACTTGGTGAATTCTGGTCAAAAAGCCTCCTCAAAATTAAGTGCTTCAGTAGGACAGTATTTCTTTACAAACCACTGCAAACTCAGCTCTGACTCCATTGTGTGATTCCAAATCCTTGCAGCCGTTTCTAAAGATTTCATTGGTCATGTCAATCACAGCCTACACAACTCTAAAAACAAATCCTAAACCCTAAACCTAATCTAAATCCTGTGAATCTCCTATTTGACCAAATCATAATGCCATTGGCTAAGATCTCCTGTTCTCCAAAATATAACACATTAAAATGGGTTGTGTAGGCTATATGTATGCGCTACAATGATGATGTATTTTTGTAGGTCAACCTAGAAGTCTGCAACACCTTGATTGAAAATCACAAGTGGATATACTGTATTTTATGAAAGTATCTTGAGTTTGTGTTAAACACAGACATTATTTCAGGCATTTAACCAAAAACCTTTTTAAAAAATCCATTGACTACTGGACGGAAGTGCCGAGATGCATCTTGTTTCTGGGTATTGGCCTACAAAAATACATCATCCAACAGCTCTCTATAATCGTTCATGTTGACTTAAATTCATGTACAGTTCTGGCACTTCCAGCATTCCCGAAGCTACAGCTTCTAGAGTCTCCAATCAAAGGAGCTCCAATCTCAAAACTGTGTTTTGCATTTATTTTCTGCTCATGTCGTCCACCCTTGAAACCACCAGCAGCTGAGCTCTTTTAGATAGACTCCATTAGATATTGAACCTCATAACATCAGGTTACCGTCACTAGCTCACCTGGAGGCAAAGTTTTGCTTTGGCTCAAAGTAACCAAGAGTGAGGACACTTCTATTGGCCTACAAAAATACATCATCCAACAGCTCTCTATAATCGTTCATGTTGACTTAAATTCATGTACAGTTCTGGCACTTCCAGTATTCCCGAAGCTACAGCTTCTAGAGTCTGACCTGCATCACAAAGGAGCTCCAATCTCAAAACTGTGTTTTGCATTTATTTTCTGCTCATGTCGTCCACCCTTGAAACCACCAGCAGCTGAGCTCTTTTAGATAGACTCCATTAGATATTGAACCTCATAACATCAGGTTACCGTCACTAGCTCACCTGGAGGCAAAGTTTTGCTTTGGCTCAAAGTAACCAAGAGTGAGGACACTTCTCTGGACGCATCTTCAAGCTTGACGTCAACGACCTCAGTCCAACGATTCCCTTGAACCCTTTGATAATGGCGTTCTGGGGACATGTTTGGCTATCCAGGACTGGCCTTAGTTTACCACAGACATCTCCAGAGGTCTATGGTGAAAGCTCAAAGACAGTCCCTGCATAGCGCCACCTGGCCGTGAATGTAGTCTCTGCACGGGCAAAGCCGCTGGTGTTTGGCACTGACTCCAGCGCAACTGAACAGCAGCGGCTCCTTTTGCTGGAAACACTCTCTGCTGTCCACATGTACGGCTGGAAACACATGGTTCTTCTCCGCTTCTAAAGACTCACACTGAGCGTTAAGCCTGAAAAACACGCATTCATGCTATTAATCTGTTTCAAAGAAACGCAGATGAGAAAAAAGGGGGGCGGGGGAATGCAATACAGCACAGTGAAGAGAGAACAATGACTGCTCATTTTTATAGCGGTCTTGGTTTACGTAAATATTTTTTTCATTCATTTTCTTAATAGAGATTTAAGATGTGCCAGCTGTAAACCAAACCATCTAGCTGTGAATTGAATCAAAAGATTACAAGCTTTGATTTGAAGCAAAAAAAAGGCACAAGAATCCCATTAAGCACTGCAAAAATAAATACATAAATAAAACTACTGATATTGATTGCTTTTAAGTATAGAAAATATATATTTTAAGTTTATTGCAAGTTGAAATCCTACTGACTTGTCTGTCTTGAAGTCTTGAAAACTTTATTATTGCTAAAAACACACATTGATGCTAAAATATCAATCGTATTTATTAATGCTTATACCTTTAAAGAGTACAAAGCATTTTGGATTGTGATTGGCTACAACTTTGTCTGCATGGCCAATTTACAAAAGTGTCCGTCAAAATCTACCAACAGACAAATTCATAATTAATACATAATCTCTGTTGATCAGTTGACCACATATCAACAGTAAATTTAATGTATTACAGTGCATTATACTTTTTAACGGTGTAAATATGAATTATATAAGCATTATAATATGTTAAATAAGGATGTATTATACAGTCTGGCAACCTAAGTGCCACTGAAACAGTGAGTGAAAGAGAGAGAGTTTGAGGGACATGTTTGATGTCACTGAACAACCTAGAAGTTGCGTGAGTTTTGCCCACACAGGGAATGTTAAGGCAGGTTAATTGAGGCTGACATCGTAAATTAAACTGCACACTGAAGCTTGTGTGCAGACAAAACAAGAGAATGTAAAGATGAAAGAGTATGTAGGCTATCAATAGTGGTCTTGACTGAGATCAGAGAATGTTTTTTTTCGTTTATTGTATTAAGATGCACGCGATCTACAGCATGTTAAAAGACTTGAGAAAGTCCACTCACAATACACATTTTAAGGCAAAACCTTTTAATCTGCTAAATCTATAATCTACTAAATGTGTCTATTAGGAACAAAAGTAAATGCCTTTAAATATTAAGCATTAAAGGGGTCATATGATGTTGCTAAAAAGAGGTTGGTGTGGTTGACTCTTAACTTTATAAAGAATATCTCTTTGGATTTGAGACTTTAGTCTTTGCAACTTTACAGATCTTCTTTATGCACCAAGAGCTTGTAACACTTCAAACTGAAAGGAAAAATTGAAATCGCATCATATCACCCCTTTAACATCATAATTTTCCCTAAAGTTGCTTTAAAACAGTGTGCAAAACGCGATATGTAAATAGCCTAAATTTGACATTTTTTGACTTTTATGGATGGCTATGTGAGCTTATCACATTGTGACAGACAAATTTGAAACATTTATTTTAAGGCCCTTTATGGGAATCCTGCAGCTGTCAATGTAATTGGACAGGATTAAAAAAGGCGGGTTTTGGGTTGGCTTTGGACTGGAAATTTTTCTGGGACCTGGCAACCCTGCTGATTGAAACTTTTCCCACTGTGTATCTGTGCATGTTGCTGGGCTCTTGTTGTGCCATTTTCTCATGACTTCATGTTTCTGTGGCTCCAGAGTGATTAGTCACATGGCATTTCGGCTTGTGTGATTAACTTGTGTAAATAGACCAGAACTGAGAATCCATTAGTAAAGATGACAGAATTCAAATTGTGCATTTCTGGCGGTTGTTAGCAAATGGCATTAAGTCAAATGGGAACATTAACGGATAATTTTCTACATAACTATTTATGGTTGTTTATATTTGTTCTTCAATAGTAATGTGCCTGAAATGCCTACGTACCTGATGCTGAATGTAAGCGTTCACTCTCTCCAGCATGCCTTCACAAGTGTACTCAGACGGTATAAAGGGCTCCACCTGTGCAAACCGCCAAATGACAAAAGACACAAACAGAAACTTGAGACATTTCTGAAACTTATACACCAAGCACATGCTGCTCATTGAACTAATGCCTGTCCATGCGTGTCATTATGCACTATGGGTTATTATCATTACAGTTTTTCTGAATGGCTAAAACACATTTCTTGAAACCATCACTCATTTTCTCAAAACCTTAAACGCAAATCCAAATACTCAAACTAAATTCACGAAACCTCTTCCATCAAAATCAAACAATCACTGCAAAACCATTTCACTTGCACTCAAAATCAAACGGTGCTCTCAGATCACACACACACATGAGTCAATAAAATAAACTACAGACACTACAGAGAAAAATGGAGAACACTGCATCCAAAACATTATAGAAGAGTATATTGTATTGAGTAAACAATTTAGCAATTCTGTAAAAAAGTATAGCAATTGCAACTGCAATTGCCTACTGTATGTACTGCAAGAATAGTATTGTGTTGAATATTGAATAGTACTGAATGTTTGTATATATTCAGCATTTGGATACTGTAAAAATACTGCAGTCCAACTGCAAAGGCCAAAAAGGTCAAATAAAACTCTAAATGAATAGCATGTTACCTGAACTCTAAACCGACTTCAAAAACACTGCATGGCAACTTAGTGTTTAGTTGGCAGCATAAGAGATTTATACAATAGAACAATCTCCAAATCTTCCTCTTCCAACAACTAGACATTTCTGGATGGATGGATGGATGGATGGATGGATAGATAGATAGATAGTAGTGCTGGGCGGTATGACCAAAAATTTATATCACGGTATTTTTCAAAATTATACCGGTTTCACGGTACATGACAGTATTTTTTTTTACTTGGACATTCTATATACAGCCACACAACAACCAATGTTACACTGACTGTAACAGAACTGTAACACAGAAAACTGAAGTTTACCTTGTCTTTGAGAATATCTTGAACAGCTGTCTCGAATTCTTGAGAGTTGTTGAAGTCTACTGTTATGACGTGGGGTTTGCCGATGTACCGTTCAGTGTACGGGTGCTGAGATGACACCTGATGAGAAGAAGAAAACACGAGTGCTATCTATCATGAGTGCACTACACCGATTCTTCCGCTCCAGTTCATTTTCACAGTTCACAGCTCTGAGGATTATATGAACAGCAGAATTGTGTGCCATTCAGAAGTGAATTGAGATTGCCTTTTAAATTTGAATACAATTCCCCTTGTACTGAGGTAGCAAATATATGTATATAGTATAGTATGCATAGTTTGAATTTAAATTTGAATTTATGGGAGTAGACTTAAAAGAATACAGTTCAGAAAATCACACATTTATACATAGAACAGATGGGCTGTTTTCAGAAACATTTGCTTGACATGCTTTAGAAATTATGATATATATATATATTTTACATTTCTACAACAAATTCTGACTTTTTCCTCACGATTACCTTTTTTATTCAGTGGCGGAAACGGGATTCCACAGATTGTATAGATGACTGTTACATGTTTTGGGAGTACTAAACTTTTCGTTTGGAGAAATGGGTTTAGAAATCAGGAATAAACATATTTTAAAAAGTCAAGATGAATGATATTATGTAATTATTTTTTGTTAACCTAAGTTAGACTAATGAAAAATCTTTGACCTTCTTTGAATTTAAATTCAGTAGTTTCTTCTTGCATAATGGCCCCTCTTTAAATTGATGAGGGATATAGTGAGCAGACTGCGCTTACCTCTCTGGATGTGGGCTTCCCTCTGAAGAACTCATGGTTGAGGGAGCTGCGAGGGGGGCTGAACTTTGGCTGCAGGAACACACAGCCATTGGCTATTGCCTCTAAAGGGGCGGGACCTTCATAGGGAAAGCCAAACCCCAAGAAGAGCTGAGAGAAAATTGATGTTTAGGATTGTTAATTGATTACAAGTTTAATCAAATTGCTGCATATTATCATTAATCAAAACACAGTTAATAACATGTATGAATATTTGATAAGTGTACATACAGAAATTGCTCCAATGGTTGAAAAACTATTATAATGGCATTTACTTGACATTAGCGATTTTTTAAACAAATTATTTGATTTTATATTTTTTAAATGTATTTACTGAATGTATACTTTAAATTACCAGTCCTAGTGTTGGGTAGTAACTGATTACATGTAATCTGGATTACATAATCAGATTCCAAAAATTAAGTACTTGTAATTTGATAATATTATGTTTAATAATCAGATTACAGTTACTTTTTAATGGATAACATGATTACATATTATTCACACGTGTCAAACTGACTGCATAAGTGTGGCAACATTATAGTTTTGTGAATTATATATGTGTACTAAATGTGCTTTTGTAATAACTATTTAGACTGATAAGTGATCTGATCTGTTACCACACATGGATTGCATTTGTAAAGCCAAAATTGGCTGTTCATAATTAAACACTTCCATAATGCAAACATAGCTGAGTCTGCATCTGTATCACTGGGAAAAATTCCCTACGTATTTTTTATACCATGCAAGTTACTAAACACTGCAAGTTATTTAAACTGCATTATCGCTTAGATGTGAAAGTACATCATGCTAACTGTACCTTAGCCTTCCTCAGAAGCTGCTGTAGCTCCTGTTGGGGCAGTAAGCCGTGGTTCCTGACGAATGCGGGCACCTCAGGGGGCCGCTGGGTTTCATAGTACACTGTCCCGTGGATGTCCATGTAACGGTGTAAGATGCTCAGCAGCTTCTCCTTACCCTGCAAAAGCATGTAAAAAGAGAAGCAGATGAGAATGAACCCTAGAGAAAGGCTAGTGTGTCTCTTGATCCCTCTTATTTATGACACCCACAAGAAGTCCGTACTTATGAGTTTGTAAATTGTAATTACTATGTCATAATGCAGTTCAAATTATTTTGGGAAAAAAACAACAAAAAAACAACAAAAAAAATTATATATATATATAATTATTATTTTGGTCTTAAAGCAGCATAATGAAGAGCAAAATATGTGCATTGCATTTAATTGTTGCTTTATCACTATTTTAATATTGTACTGCCACAGAGAATTATGGGAAATGTAGTTCAGTCACACAAGTATGTCGACAGTGAACAGTGTTTTCTGGCATGCATTCTAGTGTTTTTAATCAAAATGCATACAGATTGTGCATTAAAGAGTGAGCAGTTTCGTATCTAACTTGAGATCAGCACCATGGACAGCGCACACACAAAAGCACAGGCTACAGATTGAGAACAGTGAAACTGACTCACCTCTGCATACAATTACAACACAGCAGCAGCAACACAAGTTTCCCATTAGTATTTCAAGAAAAAGGTTTAATGCATTTGCCTTTGACAAAAAAAACGAAGAGTCTGATCTGTTATAGCCAGAACCCCCGCAGCAATAATTCACTCCTGTTGATGTTCAATAAAAAACTCAGCAGAGCACAACACTTAATTTCCCCGTCTTTGTGTGTGCATATGCACACGTGTTTCTGCATTGTGTCTGTGCATATTTGACCACAATTGCTGCAAAATGTATGATTACCAAAACTATTTAAATGGTAGAGACTTGCAGAGTATTTACACACTGCATTCCAAAGACATCAGAACCAGCAAGACCATTGACCACACATGCTGGTTTTATGCGTGTAAAGGAGTCCATTCTGGCTCACAGGATAATTTGTAGGAAAATATTAAAAGTAAAAATACCAAAACACGTCAGCACCCATTTATTATACTGGCAAGATATACTGAACATATTATATCTTATTGCTCACATCTTTAATTACTCATGACTAAAGTCAATTTCACAATTGTCTCCACTGGGAGATTATTATATTTCATATATTAATACTGATTTGATGCTATGAAGAATTTGACTGAGAAACATGTAATTAAAATGAGCCATAGGTTTTTTTTTTTCTTAGTTTTTCCCTAGTGGCTTCTTAGAATATATATACACACACACACACACACACACACATACATACATACATAATATATATACATAGACAGTGTGAGAAGAATTAAGATATATATATATATATATATATATATATTTTTTTT